CACATTAAAAGCCAGAAAAACAGGAACCTGCTCTCATGAGACAGGATTTGTGTCACATGAGGCAGTCTTTCACAACGCCATCCGTAAAGGAAATGAAGTCCTACAATGAATCCTGTCACATTAATGAATTTAGCACTTGCCATGAGACAGGGATATGGCTCTTTACTCCTTGAGATGTGCTGTATACACAGTTAATTCCGTTTCTTCTGATTAATTCCTTTGGGGTTTGTGTCTGTTCCTGGGACATAGGTTTGGACAGGCCTATGTGTGACCTCTCTGAAAAGGGTCAGGGACAACGGAAATAGGTCATCCAATTTAAGTTTTCAAAATAAGCCTCTCCCAATTTGCTGAGGAATGTCAGGTTGCATGAGGTGTTTTTCTGTTCTTATTTATGGAGAAAAATAGCCAGTAATAGTTATTAGACCTTAATAGAATTAGTCTCCATGTAAACACATTTAATCCTATTCTGCCTTAGGTTAAACCTCTGTGGAAGTGGATTAAATCCAACAACATGAAAAAATTCCTAATATGGAAAAACTTGGTAATGAAAAACAACTATTACTGATAGAATTCACCTCTCATTTTTTCCCCAGTTCTTTGTCTGTATAAGAGGATCTTTATTTTCTTTTACTTGTACATGTTCTGACAATATCGAGTAGTCCTGAGTAAGACTAGATCCCTGCTGGGCTAGACGTCGTGCTCCCTTGGTTTAGGGTGGATGTCCTGAAGAGGGGAGGGTCTCCATGGGGTGATGCAGAGGTGAAATGGTTCCCTTGGGGTGACAGAGTGGTTCAGTGGGTGAATGAGGACCAAGACCCTGGTCTCCAGTGTCAACTGGGATATGGGACTCTGTGTGGTTATGCATTTCAGAGTGAAAAAGAAAATAGCAAACACCTGTGAACACCTCCAGGTTTCATGGGAAAGCTGAGGGGAGGGTGAATTTGCTTACTTGGAAATAGGGCTCCACCAAGGTAGGTCAGTCCTGAATTCTTGACTCCCAGTTAACCCCTGGATGTCCGAGTCCCTGGGCATTTTCTGCACTAATTCAGAGTGCAGCAGGCTTGCTGCTTCAAAGGAGCTGCCCATAATCATTCCAGAGAGTAGCACTATCTCTCCCAAGAAGAGAAGAGGCTCCTGCCTGCATCCTAGAAGAGGCTGAAGGAACACTCCCACCTGGGGAGGTGACAGCAGGGCTTTGGGAGGATGTCTTCTCCACTGCATGGGCGCAGCGTGGGGAGGAAGGCTACAGCTGTGGGTGGTTACTGGGTCCTTGGTCTCCCTTGGTCAGAGCAGATTTGCGCTGCAGATCTGATAGCGTTTGTCACCTTGGCTGCCCATCCCTACAGCAGAGACACATTCAGCTTTCCCCAAAGCATTGGTCCCCTGCTGAGGCATGGCAGCACTTGGGCTCAGCCCCCCGTGCTGCTGGGCTCGGCTCATCTGAGTGGCATCTGGCCAAGTGGTTCTGGGGCAAAAAAACCTATAATGATTTCCTGGCTTTCAGAAGGGCTCACTTCAGGAGTGTGAGGTACAGGCAGTGTCAAATTAGTGAAGTCTCGGCTTTTCTCTGCAGGAGGCAGTGGCAGCAGTCACGGGTAATTATATTCTGTGCAGGGAGATAACCTCTGGCTGGAGAAGTTTTGAACTGAGAGGAGAGAAAGGAGAAATTAAAGATCGAGAGTAGGCTGGTGGAAAAAAAGGAAAGTTTTCAGTGAAACACTGAAGTGTTTGGAAAGGAAATAAAAAACGAGTGCTGTGGTCTTTGTTGTTGGGCTTTATAAACAGCTGGCAGGACAGAAGTTACCAAAGTTACCTTGTGCCTCTCTGGACTGTGCATTCAGGGCTGCACTGGCCACGGGAGCGCTGCCAGCCCCAAGTGGACTCCATCCCAGGAGCGCGGGCTGCCTCTGGCCACCGCCTGCCCGGCACATGCTGGCTCGGGGAGAGGAGGGTGCTCGATCTGTGAAACAGGGGCACGGCCACGGAGCAGGGAAACATAGGCTAGAGGAGATTTTCCCCAGCGCAGATGTTCTCAGGACCCCGCACTCTGGCCTGGCACAGCGCAGGGCAGAGCAGCACCGCCAGGCAGGGAGAGCAACAGAGGAACTGGCTGTCTTCTCTGAGACATATCCTGGGGACACATCCTGACAGCTGGTTGCTTTCAGCATTGCATCATCTGCCAGAGGTGCGGTGCTGCCCTCCAGGGAAAGAAAGGCACAAACAAAACAACACAACCCGCCTTCCAAATCTTCATTTAGATATCGTGGCTTCAATTAGATGTAATTACTTAATTTTGAATCAGTGGCAACTTCTCTTGCATTTATTTGCTGTCCCCAGTGGCTTGTCCAAGAGAGAGAGTGTTGTTCCATAAAGCCAGGTGCTAATAAGGGGAGCTTTGAAATGAGTGGGTGTGTTGCTGCATCTAGGTCAGAAGAGTCAGATGAAAGTATCTTCCATGTTTGTTTTTTTTTTTTTTTTCTAAACTAGGCTTCTAATAAACATGTTAGCTTTCCAAATTACTATAAGCAGCTACATCCATCAGCAGCACACAGGGATATATTTACTGCATTTGAAAGCTCTCTAATGAAGCCTTGAAGTCCAGCTCATCCCAGATTCACGCAGGGAAGGAGCTGTAGCCATTGTGACACTCCTCTTCTGACTTCTGAACATGTGAGACTTGAAAGCAACTATTTCTTTGTAAATATGGACAGGGGTGAGCAGCGCGTGCCTTGGTGGGTTTGTGGAAGTGTGATATAATCTATCTGCCAGACTGCCCCATATCTCAGCCATCGTCCTCCATACCAGAGAGGCTTTAACCGCTTGTCTTGCTTGATTGCGGCGCATGTTTCACATTCATGGATAACCTGTGCTATAGTGCACCTGTGGTATAGTCCACCCCTCACTCACAAGCCCATCTATATGTTGCATCTCTTCCTTGATGGCTTGAGGTGTCATGGGCCCACAGAGCTATAAATAATTCACCTTTATGTTGCTAGTCTAGATCCACCTGAGCCACTTTGATCTTAGCAGCCTGATCCACCTACCGTTTGTTTTAATGTTCTTCAGTGCCCTGACGCTTGGATACATGGACATCTATGTGACGTACTTTTACAACCAGATTCTCTACCCAGGCAGCAACGCGTTGCCACAGTGCAGCAGCTCAGGTGGATTTGCCACTGTGCTGCCAGTTGCTCTGCTTCCATTGCTGTAACCACCCCCATAGGGCATTTGCCACCATGAGTCAGTACACAGATTAGTATGGCCTCTGTGCAAGGATGACATGAAAATTCAGGAAGTGTTCCAAATTATTTTGAGTGCCCAAAAGAACTGTTGTGGTTTAACCCCAACCAGCAATAAGCAACACATAGCCACTCGCTCACTACCCCCTGCCCAGTGGGATGGGGGGAGAATCAGAACAAAAGTGAGAAAAATAATGGGTTGAGATAAAGACAGTTTAATAGAACAGCAAAGGAAGAAAAAAAAAATAGAATATACAAAACGAATGATGGACAGTGCAATTGCTCACCACCCATCAACTGATGCCTCACCAGTCCTGAGCAGCAATTGCAGCTTCCAGTCCAGCTTCCCCCAGTTTATATACTAAGCATGACATCATATGGTATGTAATATCCTTTTGGCCAGTTTGGGTCAGTTGTCCTGGCTGTGCTCCCTCTCAGCTTCTTGTGCACCTCCTCCCTGGGAGAGCTTGGGAAGCTGAAAAGTCCTTGAGTTAGTATGAGCGCTACTTAGCAACAGCTAAAACATCAGTGTATTATCGGCATTATTTTCATATTAAATCCAAAACACAGCACTATACCAGCTACTAGGAAGAAAATTAAGTGTCTCCCAGCCAAAACCAAAACCAAGACAATACGGAAATATGGATGCTCAAACAGGTATTTCAAAACCTACCTCTGACTGTCACAGAGTTTTGTTTGTGTATTGCAGGAGCTTTCTTTTTCTTTTCTTACCAACACAGCCCATATTTGCGTTTAATCACGAACTGCTTTTCATTTTAGTATCATCATCCAGAGAACAGGAGTTTCGCTATCCTTCCTCAGTCCCACATTCAAGAAAACTGGATGAACCTAAAAAAAAAATACATATATTTCATATGAGTAACATTTATAAAATCAACAGAAGTGTTTTTACTCTGTGGATCCTTCTGCAGCATGAGGCTCAGATTCCTTCTTCTATAGACAGCTATAGAGAAATGCTGCAGGGTGAAATAACTACAGGATTAGATGGCATGGCATCACGAGACGGTGGATATTGCTGGGTTTTATAATCATACACCCTTGTTACAGTGCTTATCCATGGCACTCCCAGTACACCCACACATATTAGACATATAAACTCTCCAGGAAACACTTGTGTTGCTGTGTGAAGCCACACAACACGGCACATGGGGAACCTAATTGCACCCTCCAGTCACCATTATAAAACTAGCTGTAAGCAGAGATAAAAAGTATTGAGCATGTCTGGGTTTTCAGTCTCTGGAAGGATGTGTGTGTTGAGTTAAATTTACAGCTGTGTAGTCTCCACTGAATTACTGTTTCCCTTTGATCTGTACTAAAGATAGTGATGGAGCAGGTATGAGTGTGAGCAGTGGGTAGGCAGGTGTCACGGTATTTGGGTTCTGGCTCACTCTCTTTCTTCTCTTTATTCAGTTTCTTTCCTTCTCTTGATGTCGGGATATTTTTAGGTCTTCAAGGCTCTCTCTGCTGCATCAAAGATAAAGGTGAAACCCACTTTTAATCTATACTTTTAAGAAAGTGTGTGTGTATATATATATATATATATGTATGTATCTATGCAGTAGCATATATCTGAGGTTACTATGTCTTGATCAGCTCCATTTGAATTCACTGCAAGAAATAAAGATAGAAAGGAAGGAGAAATGTCTGTTACCTCAATACTGTTTCCTCATTTCCCAGTAATGTTTCCCAGTAAGTGATGTCCTTTGGGTATTGACTCTGTTGTGGATTTATTCCCCATAGATAATCTTCCGGAAGATCAGCGATGTCAAAAAGGAAGAAGAGGAGCGCCTGCGCCAGAAGAACGAGGTGACGCTGAGCATTCCTGTGGACCACCCTGTGCGGAAACTCTTCCAGAAATTCAAACAGCAAAAGGAGATGCGTAATCAAGGCTCAACCCACATCGACCCGGAAAGGAACCAGCTTCAGGTGGAAAGCCGGAGTGTGCAGAACGGGGCCTCCATCACAGGCACCAGTGTGGTGACCGTGTCTCAGATCACCCCTATCCAGACATCCCTGGCTTACATGAAAAGCAGTGAGGCTGTGAAGCAGAACAACAGGGATGCGATGGAGCTCAAGCCAAATGGAAATGGAGACCAAAAATGTCTGAAAGTAAACAGTCCCATACGGATGAAAAACGGGAATGGGAAGGGGTGGCTTCGCCTGAAGAACACGATGGGGACCCATGAGGAGAAGAAGGAGGACTGGAACAACGTCACGAAGGCTGAGTCCATGGGGTTGCTGTCGGACGACACGAAGTGCAATGACTCAGAGAACGGTGTAAATAAAAACCCACTGAGGAAAACAGACTCTTGTGACAGTGGAATAACAAAAAGTGACCTTCGCTTGGATAAAGCTGGTGAGACTCGCAGCCCGCTGGAGCACAGCCCCATTCAGGCTGATGCTAGGCATCCTTTCTACCCTATTCCTGAGCAGGCCTTACAAACCACGCTGCAGGAAGTCAAGCACGAACTCAAAGAAGATATCCAGCTGCTAAGCAGTAGGATGGCTGCCCTTGAGAAGCAGGTGGCAGAAATTTTAAAAATATTGTCCGAAAAGAACGTACCCCAGATCTCTTCCCCCACGTCTCATTTATCACCTCAGCGGCCCCCCCAGATACCCTGTCAGGATATTTTTAGTGTTTCAAGGCCTGCATCACCTGAATCAGAAAAAGATGAAATCCACTTTTAGCATATACCTATGTGTATATGTGTATATGGTATATATGCAGAGGTGTATATATACCTTTATACATATATATGTGTGTGTATACGGTAAATATATATACATATATATTTTCACTTGCATCCAATATGACTTGAACACACCAAGGATTTTGATATGTAAATGTTGCATGTCCAGCTGGATTCTGGCCTGCCAAAGAAAACAATTATTAACATAGATATTGCTTGTATAATATGCAGTTGACTGCATGCACACTTTACATTTATTTATAATCTCTATTATGTAATAAAAGAATGACTTTTGTTTAACAAAGGCAATGTACTATTTAAAGAATCAGGGTCTAACCTGCCAATATTGCCATGACAGTTTTGATCTCAGGCTGGGTGAGTTGAGCTTTTATTTCCTCACTGTCTTTTGTGCTGAGTTAAACAGTAGGTTAACATGACGTGGAGGACACGTTCGGACTCCAATTAGTATTGTTTCTTGGTATCATTCCATTACAATATACTGTATATTTGGTGATGAATTCCCCTGCTCCTCCTAAAGGGAGGGCTCAGCTCAGTGGCCAGGGAAGGGCACCATGTCTGGTGCTGGGGCGGATCACTGGAATTTATTCGTGTGGGTATTGTGCATGCACAACCTTTTATTTCAAGTATCTTCCTGGTCTTTTAACATCATAAGTAAGAAATAATGATGGTGATTTATGTAAGAAAATGAAACTAGCAGAAATTCTCCCAGTGGAACTCCCTGTGTGTTTGGGGGTAACTTCTTTTGTGAAAGTCCCTTCTACTGATGTCATTTTTACTGAACCATTAGAGTAACATTATGTAGATTCTCTTTGCAGGGCCCAGCGATGGTGTCTGGTTCTGTCAGTATCTTCATTAGGATGTCCTGTTTTTTGCAGGATTGAGGTTGTTCACCCACTGTCCCCCCCCATCGCCCCTGGCAGAAAGACTTTGCACGAGGTCTGAGCAAGGGAGAGAACAATCACAGTTCAGCTCCTCAGGAGCCGTGTGAGCAGGTTTGAAAGCCTGAAGTTAAAAGGCTGCAGTTAATCCCCCTCCACTCTCTTTTCTAAGGACGTTTATCAGTCTGTGACTGCCTTTGAGAAGGCAAGAAAATAGCTGGGGATGAAATTCCCTTTAGTTCAAGACACCTGGATGATAATGTTTGGGTGGGAGAGTGGTGAGTGTGTTGGGGAGACGAAGTCCTTCCTAGGGTGCTACCTGCTGCTATTGCCTTGGACTGGTGGAAGGTTTCAGTGCATGGGGTGGGCATGCTTCAGGAGCAAGCTTGCAGTGCCCACACAGCCAGTTGTCACGCGTACAAAGTCCCTTAGGTCTGTGTCAGATGTTCTGACCCTCCTCCTTGCTGGCTCCCACCAGCATCTCCCAGTCTTGAACCATGCTCAGACCCCATCTCCACCTGCTAGGCTGGCACATTGCCCTTCACGCAGTGCTGCTGGCTTTGTAGGGCTGCAGAAGGACAGGCCCTTGCACTGAATCCTGTTTGTTCTCTTTGAAGCTGAGGTTTTGGACTCTACCTGTGTCTGCACCTGAAGGTGGTGGGTTTTTTTGCCTCTCTGTTTGCACTGGTTTTGAATCCAGATACAGGTGATGCACAGCGGAAATGGCCATCGCAGCTTCAGAGCTGTTAAGCTTGAGGCCAGCCCAGCAGAGTGTAATGGATGCTTCAGAGGATTTCCCCTCCACAATTAAATGGCCTTTTGCATTGAGATCCCATATTTGAAAAGTGCCTGGAGTAAAACATGTATGTACCACAAGGCATCACTATCAATCAATCAGGTAAATAGAATACATGCTTATAATTGCTGGTCATCCTTACCAGAAACCAGTACCAAATCCATTATGTAACAGCAGGAAACTAAACTGAACTAAATCACTTCCTGAAAAACTGGAAAAAACCCCAAACCAAACGGAAACAAACCATCATTTGCAGTAATGGCAATTAGGAACCTGCATCTTAGGGTGAACACATCTTCTGCTGTGAAATCCAAACCCATAAACCCCCCAAAGTTCGTAAGAAAGCCAAAGAAGCCATTGCTTCTCTTGTGGCAGTTCACAGATGCTTCTTCTGAGATGAGGGTCTTCCTCATTTGCTGTTCCTTTCTGGCCATTTCCGTCTGTTCCCCAGTTCCTTTCTTTAGGAAATCATAGACAAAAAAAAAAAAAAAGGAAGAATGAAAAGCCACCAAAAGGGTCAGCTCTTCCCAAAGCCTGGTGGTTAGGCTTCCTGCTCATTATAGTTTTCTGCAGCTGCAATTGCCGCTGTCAAAACTTGGAGCAGCTGTATTTTGAGCTGCTGTTCTAACACAAGTGCAGATCTGTAACTCTGCAACCGTGCTTTGGTCTGCAAGGACAGACTGCGCTTGCAAAACAGCAGCACCTTCAAGGCCCTGCTCTAAATCCCACCCTGGGACTCGGAAGGAATTGTGGCGTTACAGGGTTAGGGAGTTACGGGGTTGCTGCAGGCTGCTGGATGATGTACAGACCTTGTGGGTACCACTTAAGTGCCAAGCTTGAAAGATGATGACCGTTCTGGCCTAACTGGGGTTGCTGGTTAAGACAGATGCACAGCAGCTGCCCCGAGTTGCCCAGTGACTAGCTGGGAGTCACACGGGCTCTCTGGGGGCCAGATTTTGGTAAAGTTCCTTGAATGCATGAATGCGCCACAATGTGATGCTGCAAAGAGCCAGCAGGGTAACAGGGGTGACTTTGTCAGAAAGCTTTTCTTTCTCTCTAACTGATATTAATTCTAAATAGAACTGCATGGCATGCAAAGGGATCTCTATTTAGGTTTATCTTGCAGGTCAGGTGTAACTGTGCCACTTTACAATGAGAGAACATGTAACAGGATTAATCTGACCTTGAAAATTATTTGATCCCAGAATGTCTATTACAGTTCAAATGCAACTTGGCTGGTTAAAATGTGTAGTGGCTAAGAGCTGTAAATAGAGTAAAATACGAAGTTCATGAAACAAATATGGTATTTCCAGGTCCGTTTCTCCTAGTGCTGCTTTGACTCATTGCAAGTTCAGTGGAACCAGCTTGCACCTTGTTTGAGGCAGCAGCGTGATGCGTTTCTTGCAAGCATAATGAATTCAAGCTGCAGAAGGACTATCCCAGGCGCTGTGTGCTGGGGTGCAGCCGGAGGCCCCATTTGTGGCATTGACTCTGGTGGCCATCCCTCTGAAAATTTGCCTTGTACAATTCTGAAGCATTTTTCCTCCAAAATTTCATGATCAGAGCATTACATGTTGTTTCATGGAGTTGTTACCAGGGCACTGGTTCAGCTTTCCTGTCCCCTTGCGGCTGTGCATGATGCGACGGAGCGTGCTGCGGGCTGGGGCATTCCTTTTCCGTTAAAGAAGCATGACTCATAGTCTTGTAGTTCAGGCTTGACTGAAAGCACCCACCTATAGTCATTAGGTGCAATAAGGATACAAACGTGTCTCTTCCACCTAAGCCAGTGCTCAAGCAGCTACACGCCGCGCGGAGGGAGCTCTGGGCTGCATGCTTTCCCTTCCTTTGAGAGCTGTTCCTGCCCCGTGCTGGCAACAGCATTCTTACCACTTAACCTCGTGCTTTGTGTGTTCAAAGCATTTTACCTGCACACAAGTGGATTTTATCTTTCTGGACTTTGGAATAGGAATAAAATGTGTACAGAAAAGTCAACACTTTCCAAAGCAAATGAACTAGAGTACCTTTATAGCTACTTTTGTGTAATATTACATATATGAGATAGATCAGCACTTCAGGATAATAACTGAAAGAAATTAATTGTTGTAGTGAAGAATCAGTTCTTCTGAATTTGTATTTGTAAATCTTTTTTTCCATCTTTCTGTCTTTGCCAGGGGACAGGGGTTAGAGCAGAGCTGACTCTGGAAGTGACAAAGTTAAGCTTTGCCCATTTTTCTTTTCCCTGTTCTGCAGAAGTAGCACAACTATAGGGACTCGATGCTGCTGGCACCGAAGTTTGGGCTCATTGCTAGATTCAAATTCAGTCTTCATTTACTACCACATCGAAAGCAACCCTGTTACACGGGTGTGAACTGAAGGTTGATGATCATATTGGACCTTAAAGTGTATTTTGGATCCCAGGACAATTTTAGAGAACTGTCAGCTGCAGAAATACTGTTGTACTATTTGCAAGCCGTGAGCAGTTGCTCTGGAAGTAACCAGGACTGCTATACAGACATCACTGTTTGCATGGGTCAGAAAACAGATGTTGTGCTCATTAAATAGCTTGGAGGCTTTTTGGGGAAAAAGGCATCCTGAACTGGAAGTGAAAATAAAAAGCCAAAGGTCTAATATGGAATGTAGGAGTGAGGAGGTAAAGGGATATATTATAGTGAATTGACACTTTTTTACTTGGATTTTGAGCATTTAGCAAACCCAAACCTATCTTTTTGGATGTCAGAATTGGACAGATTATTTGTTAAAATAAATATTTTTTTCCTAGGTGAGGTGGCATCAAAGTGATACCTCTTTTTTAAAATAAGTGTTCAAATGCCATTTTCCTACAGAAGAGAGTGTTAACAGGTTTTGTTACTGTTGTTTTTAACAGGCTGTATCTAAAGGCTTTTTTTCAGTTCTTCTTTTTTTGTATTGGAAGCTCCTGTGTTAATACGTGTGTTTAAGTCCATGGGATCTATATTGCTTTGTAGCCTTGCTGCTAACATTTTGTTAGAGAGGGTTTGAGAAGCAGGATTCCTTCGGAGAAGAGCATCACTCCGTGGCAGCCCGGGCTCTGCGACTCTCCCGTCCCGAGCTGCAGTGAGAGCTGTGAGCACTAAACAGTTTCCATTTTTCTTGGCACTTCTGAATCTGCACTGGTTTCCTTCAGGGAATTTAAGGAAGGATACAGAAAAGTTGACCCTGTCATTTTTCCTGTCTTTCACCTACGTCTGTGCCACGAGAGCAGTGTTTTCCTATGGAGCCTACAGGGAGGAAAAGTCTGATCCAGCTAGATTTTTACTCCTGGGA